TCGCGCGTAGGTTTTGCAAAAAATGTCGGACGAGGAAGAAGAATCCATGTCGGAAGATTTCTCCGCCAGTGAGGACGAATGGAAGCCAACTAAGGATGTGCGTGGTGGGGAGTCGTCCGATGACGATGATAGTGATTTCGAAGAGTCACGGCAAGCTACAGGCGCGGAAAGTGTTAGCGGATCGAGCGCTGCAACTAGACGAAAGTAAGTTTTATACAGTTAGTTTTTCAATGTGAAATACAATGCTGATTTTTGTTACACCTTCGACAGAGGAGTATCAGCAGGTGCTAAAGTGACTATAAAGCAAACTGCCATTAAGAAACGCAAATCCACTGGCCAGTCATTGCGTACTAAACTATACAACAAATATCGGCCACCACCAAAAACTTTTCCGTCACCCAATAGCGCTGGCAGCAACTCGCCATCGGCGTCAACATCACGAACGGCTTCAAAAAACGCCAAAATGCCCAATGAAAGTGGCGAACCTGGCAACGACTCCAGCAGCGAATCGAGTGTTGAAGATTATCTCGTCAATCCTGCAGATATCGATCTGAAATCGAGTTTCTTCAATGTACGTCATGAAGATAAAGCAAAATCCACTTCGCCGGCACCCTTTTTCGACTGCAATGTCGGCATTACTAAACTCTCTGATTCAGGATCAGAGGATAACAACGAATCTAGTGCAGATGAGCAGCAAACAAATGGAAAGGCATTTGATTTTGCAAATTTGTTGGATAATGTTAATAGTCTGGAGCGTGCTAAGGAAACCATAGCGAAACGTGCTGCTGATACAAAAAAGCAGAATACCAAAATAACTGGTGATAAATGCAATACAACAGTTATGGATGTCAATTCGTTACTTGCATTGGGCGAAAAACAGAGTCATGCTGCTATGCGCAGTATAAAATCGAAGGATGATGGAGAGGAGGAGGATGACGAAGGCGAAGCTGAGCGCGGACCACTGAAGTTGAGTAAAACCAAATCGACACGCGTCAAACGACATACCAAAACGCGTCCAGCTTCGACTGTTGTGGCAGGCGATACAGATGATTCGGACTTTGAAGAAGTAGCAGGTAGGAAACGCAAGTAGTGGACTGTAAGTGGTAGAATGCTGCTGATAAAATGTCTAAAATGCGCTTCCAGTTGTTCAAATGAGACTGTGTGTAGGTTTGTGTGCACTTTATGCGTTCATTTTTCTCCTTTTGAAGCTATATAAACAAATGGCTCACATAGAAATGAAATACAATAGTATTTAAAAATTAAAGAAATAGATCTTACAGAAATAGATTAATAGTTTCGTGGGCATTTATGAAATACGTAAATTCAGCTTTTAAATTTCTGGTTCTACTGAGTTTTCATTCATTTAATATGTATAATGAACAATAAGATGCCATAAATTACTTGTTT